AGAAAGAAAGAAAGAAAGAAAGAAAGAAAGAAAGAAAGAAAGAAAGAGAACAAAGAAAAGGAGAGAAGAGAAAGAAAGAAAGAAGGAAAGAAAGGTAGGAAAAAAAGAAGTTGAGAGAGATGGAAAGAGTAGCAAAAAACAATGGCTACATGGGACCATGCTTAAATGACTGATTTGTTTGCCTCTGGCTGCCCAGACTTTCTCCAGAACAAAACACAAAGTACAAAACATGTAAGACCAAGTTGCAAAAGGATAGCACCCACCTGACTGTTTCTTTAGCCATATTGTTGTTGCTCCAGAGCATCCTCAAACTTCCTTTGCCTTCTTGTTCTCCCGGCAGGTCTATTTCTCACAGCAGCTGTTGAAAGTGTGAACTGGGAATGGGTTTGACTTTAGACGTATCCTAAAGAGGAAAAGAAACACTGTTCAGGAAAATAAATATTTGAGCCTGCTCCCTGCTTTAGTTCATAGAGCATCCTATACAAGCACATTAAAGTAATTCAGCTGGAGATTTTTCAATGACAGTTTAAACTTATGTGTGTTTCCTTGCACTTCTGTCTACAATACACTTTGGACAGCTTCTCTCATCTCTCTCAAAGCCTTACTGCTGCTTAGAACCTACTTGGCTGCCTCCTGCACTTATTCACCTACTTTTCTGCCCAGTCCTTTCCTTGAACAACTCCTTTTTGATTTAGTTCTAGGCAACCAGGCGCACAAGAACACAAACACACACAAAAAAAAGCAAAACAAAAAACCACACTTCACATAATGTTACAGAAAATAAGAGGGTCATTTTTCCCCCAGTTTGTCACACCAGTTTTATTGATGAATATCTGAAGCACGAGAAAGAGGAGGGCATAGTTAACAGAGTGGGTGTTTTATGGTTATATTTTAAGTAATACCTTGTAAGGATTGTGTTAGTAAGCCTAAACAATCTGTGTCTGCAAATAGAATAACATGAGATCTAATGCAACTCTCTTCATAAGGGAATGCTAAATTAAGAACTTCTGTCCTTCAGTTACTGCCATGCTGTGTCTCCCTTTCTCCCCAAAGCACTTCTGTCCAGAGCAGTTTTCTCTTTTTCAGCCTGAGTGGATAGTGCCAGGGCATAAAATCGCTTGGCATACCTGAGGTTGAGAGAAGTATTTTCTACTCTTGTACTGATAACTGACCAAAGGATGGGTATGCAATGAGTGGCAATGGGTATATACACAAAATTCTGATCTTGTGGTGTGGCAAGGGACTTATTCATACTGTAGTGCAAGAGCACAGAGAGGCCAAGAATGCAGCATGAACCCTTCTGGGAGTATCAGAGAGAGATGTTGAACTGTGCTGTGATCTGAAGTGGAAATCAAGCTATCTACTGACATGGCACTTCTCAGTGTTAGGGCTAGTGCTCTCAGACAGAGCCTTCATTACAGAGAATAGATCCCACTGCCACTTTCATGTGGCAAAGCACTTTGCAATACCTGTGCTTTTCCCCTGCAAATAAACACGTAGTCAGGGGAATAAGGAGAGAATGAGAAAGACTGAAACACCAATTTCTATCTCTCTTTCTATCTTAATCTAAAATGATAATTTCTGTGTCCCTCATTCTATTTCTGTGTTCTGTGGCACTTTGGAGAGGATGTATTATGGCCTTAAGTTGCGCCAGGGTAAGTTTAGGTTGGATATCAGGAAAAACTTCTTTACAGAAAGGGTTGTTAAGCACTGGAATAGGCTCCCCAGGGAGGTGGTTGAGTCACCATCCCTGGATGTGTTTAAAAACCATTTGGATGTGGTGCTCAGGGACATGATTTAGTGGAGGGTTGTTACAACTAGGGTCATATGGTTAGGTCGTGGTTAGACTTGATGGGTCTTTAAAGTCTTTTCCAACCTGAGTGATTCTATGGTTCTAATTAGCTGAAACAGGCCTACATCCTTCTCTTAAAATGCTTCAGGATATATTCAGAGAAGGCCACCTATTGTCCAGGACTTTGCATATTTTTCAGGCTAAAGATTATTCCTGTAGTCAGAGGACAACTGAATTTGTTCTAATATTTCTTTGTTTTATTGTTGTTTGTTTGATTGATTGATTGTTTTTGAAGTCATTTCATAAATGGCAGCTAGCAACTTTTCAGTGAGTGTAGGCACAATCTAAGTCTCTAATTGGAAAAATAATTGAATTTAGTATTAGCTAGGATTTTAGTGAATGCATTTATTAAATAAGCATGCCCTTCATCCCTTCTGGAATCTTTTATTATAAGGGAGCACCAAGAAATGGAAGTTTTTTGACAGATTCAAACTACTCATTTTTGACTTTGGGTATTGCTTGCATGGTTGGTGTAAGAGTGTCTGAACTTACACAGCACTTTAGAGTGAGAGGTTTTCTATTCCAGTTTCATATGGTTTTATAGTGGTATATCTTGTGAACTGGTGTGAAGTCAATGAGGAAGAAGAGCATAAGGATACTTGGCTAACCTAAAGGTGGACGTCTACAGCTGCATTAACATGTCTGAAGTTCATTCTCCTTTCAGAGGTGAGATAGAGGCATTTGACAAATATCACTTATCCTAACTCAGAGGCTTAAGGTGAGTCAAAGTAATTCCACACCAAAAGTAGGATTTCTCCCCATTAGCCATGAGGTGTTCCTAAGGTGACTATGTCAGATGTAAGCCACTACGCTGCAGATGCCTTCAGTTACATGAGTCATCATCTTGCTCCAGATTTACATATGCAGCTAGTGCCAAGCTGGTCCTCAATATCACGTGGACAGAAAAATATCAGAAATACTATAAACAGCAAATGTGTTAACCAAAACTGTTCTTTGTCAGTCTTCTGTTTCATTAGCAAGATTATACTAGATAATGAGTACACTTGGTATTTAGACTACATGGCCTAAAACAACTACACATGGACTAGGGAGAAGCAGGAAGAAGAGAAGGGATGTTGGCAAATTGATCACGTTTTTACAATTCTTGTACGATCAGCAGAAAAATGCAGTATTTATAGATATGGTGATATAGTTATTGTGGCACAAGAAGAACAACGAAAACTAAATGAAACTCAGTAAAAACTGGCTACGCATGTAGCATTGAGAAAGTGGTGATGAACCGATTTAAATCCAGCTGGTGACTGGTAGTGAGTGTTGTTCCTCAGAGGTTGATATTGGGACCCATTCTGTTTAAGATCTTTATTGATTATTTGGATGAGAGAATTGAGTGCAATCTCAGTAAAAATGCAGACAACACCAAGTTGAGTAAAAGTATTGATCTGCCTGGGGTAGGAAGACCTTGCAGAAGTATCTGGACAGACTAGATCAATGGGCTGGAGCAAAGTGATAAAGTTTAACAAGGCCAAGCATCGGATCTTGCACCAGAACCCCAGGCAATGCTACAGGCTTGGGGAAGGATGGCTGGAAAGCTGTGTGGAGGAAAAGAATCCAAGGACATTGGTCAACACTCAGCTGAACCTGAGCCAGCAGCGTGCCCAGGTGGTCAAGAAGGCTAATGGCATCCTAACTTGTATCAGAAATAGTGCAGTCAGCAGGAGCTTGGAGATGATTGTCTTTCTGTTCCCAGCTCTGGTGAGGCTGCACCTCATGTACTGCATTCAGTGTTAGGCCCCTCATTACAAGAAAAATATTGAGGCCCTGTAGCGTATTCAGAGAAGGGGAACAAAGCTGTGAAGAGTCTGGAGCGCAAGTCTTATGGAGAGTGGCTGAGGGAACTGGGATTCTTCAGTCTGGAGAAGAGGAGGCTCAGGGGAGACCTTATTGCTGTCTACAAATACCAGAAAGAAGGTTGTAGCAAGATGGGTGTTGGCCTCTTCTGCCAGATAGCAGTGATAACACTAGAGGGAATAGCTGCAAGCTGTACCAGGCAGAATTCAGATTGGGTATTGTAAAGAATTTCTTTGAAACAATGGCAATGCGTTGAAACAGGCTGCCCACAGAGGTGATGGAATCACTGTCCCTGAAGATGTTCAAGAAAAGGGTAGAGGAAGTACTTAGGGATGTGGTTTAGTGGGCAATATCTGTGGTGGGCGGATGGTTGGACTAGATGATGTTAGAGGTCTTTTCCAACTTTAATGATTCTGTGATTCTGTTATAGTTTTATATGAATATGTACTTTGCTTCACATATGAGGAATTTAAAGTTGACTCTCTATGAGAATGATTTACATTGGAAAGGACCTCTGGAAGTCAAAACAGGTCTAATTTCCACATAGCATTATCTTACATCCTTGTTGAGA